TGCATATTTCCATGATGTTCCTTTTTCTTTAAATCAAATCAAGAGACATTTCAGTCTGCCTTTAAACATACTCTGCAACAAGAGCATTTTAGGGACAGATTTTAACCTCTTTAAAGGAAAAAACACAATTGAATAAAGTCATCTTTTAAGAAACAGCTTTTAGAACATCACATACATTCTGTAGGCTATCTAAAATAAAGGATTCTGTCATTGTTTGTGCCTTGGAAAGAGAGAGCAGAAGGACTTCCAAAAGACAAATACATTTTAAACCGAGGGGAGATCCAAAGGTTTACACTCTAATAACCAAGCAAAGATCTCCACCAGACATGGGACAGTCCCTTTACTATGCTCCCTCATAGTCAAGCAACCAACTCATTGGGCTGGCTAATGAGCCATGTATATTTGAAGATGTAAGCCAACTAAGACCACCCAGCATCATGAGAATGACACAGCAAAGGCTGATCTCCAGAAAGCACAAGAACACTACACCGAAACTACCCAAGCTAATGGCTACAAGTCAGACCACAGGTCACCCACTTAGCAGACTAGGCTCCCTGCTTTTCTGATGTTTCCCTTAAGTGGATCATGCAGACATTTGCCTTTGAACTTAAAGTCACTCACATCCCACACCTGTATATATATACTGTGAAGCTTCTCTCCCTCCCTCCCTCTCTCTCTCTCTCTCTCTCTCTCTCTCTCTCCCTCTTTCTCTCTCTCTCCTACTGTGGTTCTTCACTCTCATTTTCCAAGATTCCCCAGGGAAAGAGGACTGCTCTCCTGACTCCTGGTGCTCTTTGTTTATAGAACCTGCTAAGTAAAATTCTTTGAACTAATTGTGACATGCTACTAAATGTTCCTCTCCCACCAGAAGAACCAAGGGTTGCTTCCAGGGCTGTTCTTTACCCAGGATGTTGGAGAAAACACAAGGTCAGGCTTCCAGCATCAGAGAGAAAACCAGACAGACATAATTTGGACAGAGTCACCAGGATGTCTGCCAGCTGGAAAAAAAAATCTGACACAAGTGATCTCAGGTCATGGGTCAGATAATGAGACATTAGGGGATGTGCCAGGTAAAATAGTATCTGTAAATGTCACACAGCCAACACCTACACTCTGCTCCCCTCCAGGTCCAGGGCAGGTTGCTAGCCACTCTGTTATGGCAATCCCCATCTAGCTGGAGTTATCAAAATAGAGAGCCAGGTGAATTAAATAAGTATGCCTTCTACGGCAAAGACAAGGTAAGAGGAGAGTAAGACCAAAGAACTGCCACAAGATGTATTCTAGCCCAAGCCATCAGCAAGGCTACAAAATGGACTGCTTATCTGTGATGAACACTGGAGTTCATATTCCATACCGGTGAGGAAAAGTCTGAGTTCACAGTCAATCTGTATTCACTCCAAAGCCCAAGAAGATGACTAAAAACAAACATGGCAACTTAGTAGGCCATCTCTCCTCTGGCTGCTGCAGTGGATCCAGTCCTCATGGAACATAAAAAAAAAAAGGAGTTATAAAAAGAGTTACAAGATTTTTATAGTTACATCAATACCGAGAAGTTTCACTGAACCAATTTGATGCTATAGCTAAGTACCAATACTTTCTTAATTTCCCTAAATGATTTTAATATAAATGCAAAGTAAAAACCATGAGTTTAGAGGCTACATGTATTTAGAAATAAAAGTTTAGGCAGTGATAGTAGAACTACAGATTGGAAGTCTTTGAGGAATAGAAAGAAAACAGAAATATAAAGATGGGCAAGACTTAGCACTACCTCTATAGGGAATTCTGGCAAGCTGGTTGGGAAGCACAGAGCTGCCTCTGGCATCTAGACCAATGTAGGTGCCTGGGCTCTTTTAATAGTTTCTTCATAGCTTTTACAGACTATTTAAGTCTGACCTTTATCTTGTGCCAAAATAGCAGAGCTGTGTTTGTTCAGCAGAAGATTTTCATGTCCCATTGATTTAGAAGGTGACTAAGAGGTCTGCCAGCACAGTGAGGCTGTCGACTGGTCAGCAGCTGCAGATGGTGTCCAGCATCCAGAGCTTGCACATCAGTGAATGCCACTTGTATGTGTGTGCCACCCTGATGCAGCCCTCCTTGGCTGTGCAAGCCCTATCTGTGCCAAACTCTGCCTAAACTGCAGATTCATGGGGTAAAATAAACGACTGGTGACATCTGAGGTCCTTAAGTCTTGAAGTAGCTTATTACACAAGCACAGACAATGTTATCTGGAAATGGGGTATTGGGGAACAAAACCCTAAAATCAGAGACATTGGCTTTGGGTCCAAGGAGTAGTCAGAAGCATAACAGCCCTCTGTAAAGGCTGTTTAAACGCACAGAAACCCATGGATTTGGACTGACCTCCTGGACTAGGCCCAGTAGACCAGACCAAATGGAGCCACTCACATTAATCTTCCATGCCACTGAGGCTAAACTACGCTATTTATCTGACATTCTGACAAATCAGGGGGAAGGGAGGGCGGCAGAGACAAAAGGTCAGAACCCTAGATTAGCCATCACTAGCTAGCAGGATGAAGCCACTTTAGCCTTTATAAGAAAAGTAACTTGAAACAACCCATCCTCTGTTCTGCTTCATTTTTCTCCAGCCTGTTCCTGCTATGAAACCAATTTCTTCTGCTCAATTCATCAAAATTTCATTTCATTTTATGAACAAGGTGTTGCCTGTTTCTACAATCACCAGTGAAAGCCAATTAAGATTGCAATACTATTTTTTCTGTAATGTTGTCTTTTGATGAGGCTACAGGAAAGTAAGAAAACTATCATAAAACTATTATTGAAAGCTGGAGGAGAAAGGATCCTTGTAGTGACAAAATGTCACTCAGTAATCAACAAAGGTGATATTAAAAAGTGTTGCCAACACACTGACTGACAGAGTCAAAGAGATTCGCAGGCAGAATACAGATGTCTCCACTGGCTTCTTGTCATTTTGTGTGATGAAATATAAGAGAAGAGAAATGAACTAAAGAATAAACTGCTAAGTTTAAAGAAACTAAGATCTGCTAGGCTTGGGAAAAAAAAACAATAACTGCTTTTCATTTCCAGCCTCTGCAGATGGGAAATGATTCCCAAATCAAGAAACAGCCTCAGGCCATAGATCAAATATAGGATCTGTCTATATATATAAATCCAAGACTGAGAAACATAAAACTTCCAGACAAACAAAAGGCCCACTAAAATGTCAAGACCCATAGGGTCTTTTTCCAGTTAAAAGGGCTTCCAAGAATCTCAAGGGCACTGTCCCTTGGCATGCTCACACTAGAGAAAGAATTCTCTTAGAGGGGTTTGCTGTGATGGCTTTTGTCTGAGTAAGAGTTTGCCATTCAGATTAGTGGATTAGGAGAAAACAAGACTGTTACTGCAGGCAGAAGTGCAAAAGAATGATGACCGCTCTGCCACCAGTACAGCTCAGAGGGACAGTGTACTGATGAAGAGCTCCATTCACCCAAGAGCCTACAGGGTAGTCAAGAAACAGAGAGGGTGAGAGGTGACAACACGCTCAGGTCAGCCAATACACCACACTCTATGGCAACAAGATGAAAATTGACAAAACTGGGTTTCTGTGAGAGCTGCTTGTAAGCCATCCAATTAGGCTTTGATTTTTCTTTGCCAACCAACAGACTAAAAAGAAAACCCAGACCGATTTGCAAGATGTATTCCATCTTAAGCATTTTGCCTGCCATTCTAAAAAGAGAATTTTCATAGTGGAGTAAGAAACAGCTCAGCTGCCTGAATTATATAACTTCTCCCTTGGGCTCAACAGACACTCATCCACCTGTATTCCTGGGAAAGATGTATTGATAGAGAGAGAAAAAAACTCTAACTCAGAAGCAAGGTTGTGTTCAGTCGTCTTTTTTTTCTCTTAGAAAATGGGGTCATAATTCCAAGTAAATGGCATGTGAAGCCACTAAGAGCCAAGCCTCACATTCACATCGCAATGTTCTATTGGTTGTAAATAGCATGCGTGACTGCGCTAGGGACCAAATTACTCGTTAGCTGCCAACATTAGTTGTTTAATGATCTGAGGAGCAGAAGCTGCCAATTATTGTATTCCTTCTTAAAATACCATTTAAAACGCATACATGTAATTATTACACCTTTTCATAAAATTTTTATGACTCCTTAGAAGTTGATGCACTGTGAGTTCATTCAACCTATGAAACTCAGAGAATTTTTGAGGCCATGATTACATTACTGGATTAAAAATCCATAGATCTCACATAGTGGGAGAAGTGGACTCCAGTTCCTGATCTGCCACTCCTTAACTAACTGAGTGAGCATAGCCCAAAGGACACATCCCACTGCCTCAATCACCTCGTTGGTTCATTAAAATCATGGTGTCTCCGCCCTACCTAATACAGGTACTGTGAAAGTCAGCTAAAATAACAAGTTCAGAGAAATGTTTGACAGGACTATTCAAATGGCAGGGTAAGACACTAATTTCAGAGAGCCTTGTTTTCAAACTACTATGAATGGGAAAAAAAAAATCCTTTAATAGCCGCCAGAATAAGAAAGGACAATGATCTCCCCAGAAATCTCCAAGATTTACCACTAGATTTTTAAAGTGAGAACATCAACTTGCTTCATATTCCCATCCTTCCTCCAAGAGGAAAGGTTTGACCGTGTGCAATAGTCTTCACTGAGCACCTATAGATGCCTACCCTACATACATCTGCTTGAATTACACATCACATGCAGTAATCCAACCTTGTAACTCTTAAAGAAACAGGAACCAAAAAGCCAAAACATAGCACCTACATAGGGGTCATATTATGTGCGCATTTATATTCTTATGTACTTTGCCCAGCCCTTTATGAGGAAATCATGCTCCTCTCTATGGGTTTTAGTGAAACACCTCACAACTGTTTTCTGATATCTGAGTATGTATGTATAAGTAATGCTAGACTGCAAATCAGAAATAACACAATCCAGTGGTGATTGCCATCACGCTGGTCCACAGGCCTGTCTCTTCCACTTCCAGTTACCTGATACAGCAAGCATTTTGGCTTCAAGCAAGGCTGGCAGTTGGGTTTCAATATCACTCATTTTCCTCCTCAGAGTGCTGCAGAGTCTCTCACTCATACACACCTAGAAGGGGAGAAAGAGTCACCATCATCCATGCTCAGCTACATGTCAGAAGGTTGCACAGAGCCAGGCCAGAGAGTTGGGGGTATGTACCTAGCTAAGAGGTCTAAGAGGGTGATAGGGAGTAACTAAACAAGAATTTAAAACAACAAGAAATGAGGTGAGGAAAGGGAATAGCAATAGGGAAGGGGAGAGTGGGGCAGGAAGGAGGAGGACAGGGGAAAGGCCAGGGAAGAAGGAGAGGGAGGTCCTGGTATATTCTAAATCCATATCCCCTTCCCTTCAACAGACCCTAACATAAAACTGACAGTAGTTAATATAACAGGCTGTAATCACCAGATAAAATGCCATCCTGTCTTCTCCCTTTGCCAGGTCTTTCCTCTCTATTCAGGTCTGACACACCCTTGTCCCAATTAGCTTAGTTTACCCACTTCCTTCAGGATTCTCTGTACAAACATTCCCCTTGTTGATTACCTGCTACAAATAGCAGCCTCCCTTGGCCCTCTTTGTCCTCCCTCTTCGTTGCCTGACATTTTCCCACAGAACACTCTTCCATTGACATTTTATTCCTTTGTTTTTATATTTTCTCTCTCTCTCTTTTCTTCCCTCCCTTCCTCTCTCCCTCCCTCTCTCTCTCCAGAGATAAAAGCTCTATGCTAATAGAGATCACTTTGTTCTGTGCCTGGCAGGTAGTAGGCAGTAAATAAATATATAGTCATGAAGATCAAGATCAGAGTGTCAGCTACATTTAACTTCAAGTGAACATCTGGGGAAACCTTGAGGGCACATATTTGTTGGCAAGTCAGACTTGTAAACAGACAAGTAACACTTGGTAAGGTTCATGTTGAATCATTTATTTTCCCAAGCTCTTAACACTTTGTGTTTTTCTTGAAAACATTGACAACAGCACACAGCACAGATCAAATAAGAATGACCATATGGAGATCATCTGTGGGGATCCACTAAGCGTATAATCTAAAGCTTCACTCTTTCTGGGTCTAAAGTTGAGATCTCTGAATGAATCTAGGTTAATTTCTAGAATTAACCTAGTTGGATTCACTAGATGCCAGAGAAATTATAAATTCAATGTCCCTAAAATAATTTAGGTCTTTCCAAATATAATCAACATTAAATGTTTTGCTTTCTCTGAGTGAACTGTAATTATTTTTAGAATCAAAGCAGACCTTGCCCATCCTGACTAAAATACTCCACTATTTCTTTGTGCAATTACATGGGATATTTTCCTCTTGGTGGTTGTAACTTTCCAACACCCTTGTAAAAGGTTCCAACTCATTTTGGATGAAGACAACAATTTGATTGTCTCTGAGCCAAAGGCTGCACCAACAGTGCTCAGCTTCTATGTGTCCAAAGTAAACTTGAAGCCTTCTCCATGGCCATGCGCTCTGGCAGCATGTCATACCAGGACGATGTCTAGGACATCTTTCCTGGCACCAAATTTTGATTTGGCCTGATGTTCAATGACTGGCACACCCCGTCCAATCAATCTGATGACTGGCACATGTCACCAGAAGTCTTGGGACATTTTCACTAACTCCAGAATATCTCCCATAATTCTTTCCTTCCCAAATCTCCTTACTAAATTGCAATGAACACTCTTTCAGGCTCTGGTAGATGCAATCCATTATCTACAACATTTCACCCATTTTCCATTGTTTTGTCCATGTCTTTTATCCCATTGCTAAATTTGATTTAGGTAACTCATAAGAGATGAAAAAGCCTAATGAGTGAAGGAAGGTTCCCTCTCTCTGGATGGAATTTACAGATGATCAGATGTGCATGTGTGTGCACACACAATGTACATGCACCACATGGTCACCCAACAATCTAGTCTACAATGGATATTTGTGTGAATAGGAAGTTATGCTTTAATTATCTATAGACATATACACATCCTCTCCACTCACACACTCATGTGGGTGCATCTGGGCATTTTCACCTATACATGCCCAGAAATTCTGTATCTTCATTCTATCTATAAATAAAATTACTCTTCAAGGAACACATTGGCAAATGGAACATTTAAAGTTACATTCAAAATCTAATGGCATGAGTTTCTTAATTTTATGGCAAACAAAAGTCTAAGTTCTTTTTTTATATAAATGTAGTAGAGAATGGCTTGAATGTCAGTGTGCCTCAGATTTCATTTTTTGATATCTTCACCGTCAATCACACAATATTAAGGGTGGAACCTATAGGAGGTACCCAGGTCATGAGGGCAGAGTTCTCATGAATAGGATTAGCACAATTATCAAAGAGACGCACGAGATTTCTCTTGGTCTCTGCCCACCATATGAGTACACAGTAAGAAACCAGCAACTAAAGGGGACCCTAACCAGAACCCGACCATGCTGGCAGTCTAACTTTAGACTTTTCAAAAATTGAACTCTGTGGTTTATAAACTACCAGGTCTTAGTACTTTGTTACAGTATGGTGAATGAGTTAAGATATCTAGGAAACAAAGCACATCATTTTGGGCAAGTCTAAGGTCTTTAACAAAGTTGAGTATTATCAACAAATGCCAATACAACGTGCATATGTGTGTGTTGTATGCACAATATGTTTTTCAAGCACACACATATAAACATCTGGATTATAACTCATTCATGTGAGTGCCAATTTGAGTCCCAGTTGCCCTTCTTTGCATCCAGCTTTCTAATTATGGCTTGGGAAACAGCAGAGAAGAGGCCAAAGCCTTGGGTCCCTACACCCACATGGAGACCCAGAAGATGCTTTTGGCTCCTGGCTTCAACCAGGCCCAGTGTTAGCCTTTACAGCCATTTAGGGAGTGAACCAGGGATGGAAGATCTCTATGTCTCTTCTCTCTCTATCTTTCTCTCATCTTTGTCTCTCTCTTTGTAACTCTTTCAAGTAAATAAATACACCTTCTTAAAAATAAGGGAGATGGAATTTACCACTTTTCCTATGCCAGGAAGCTTTTGTTCCTCTCCATCTCCTTATTGGCTCCACTGAAAGCAAAGTGAAGAAACTGATAGAAATATGAACGCTAGTGGGCAGGGCCATTGCACTTGGAGGAAGAAATTCAGGTTACTCTCTCCTGCTTCCTCTGCTGCTTCACATAACCAAACTGACAAAGTGAGTCAGAATCTCAGTTCTCCGTGATTATTAATCAGATGGAATCACAGGTCGCAGCCAAAAGGAGTACTCAACCAGTCTCCACACAGCCACACATAGTTGTGGCTAGGGATTCAGGTCTTTGCACTGAACTTCATATAGAAAGAAAAAATCATTTTAAAAAGAAGTTCTTGGAGTGTCACCCTGCTCTTCTTCTTTGAGTGTATGTTCATAGGAAGCTCTGAGGCAACAGAGCAGGTTTCAAACTTTCATGAGGTCCCAAGTGTACTGCCATCTTATGGTCTATGATCCTAACAGAAATCTCTCCTCTCCTCTTACATAGGGTAAAATAGCTTATCACACCTTAAACAGGAGACTAGTAGCAAAACCATTAGAAGCTATATTCAGAAATCACTAAAACACAAAACTGACCAAAGAGGGCAGCATAACTATATCATTTTTGCCAAGAATCTACCCCCAATTTTGTGTTAGCTGTGGTGATCTGAAAAGCCCTTGGAATGCTCCATGTATTCTTTCTCTGGGCACTTTCAGGCCCGTAGATGCTAACCTGCTTTGCTCTTTGCTCAACATCTTTTCATTTCCCCTATTTTTCCACCTAACTACTCATCCTTCACACCTTCCACCTAAGGAAGGTATGTAAGGATTTGTATTCTGCCACATTCTGTAATTCATTGGGTAATTAATTCTACTTCTCAATCCGTCAATCACTTTGTCAGAGTTAACTATTTGGAGATCTGTAGTCATCCTAGTTAAACAGGACACTGACCGTTTAATTTAACTGATTATGTGCTCCCAGTGAATAATGGAGAAGTATTCTTTCACTACACAAACTAAGGTTTCAATATAGAAGATAACATAGGCAGAATAATTCTCAAGACAATTGCAAATTTTCAGAAAAAAAAAATAGCAACCATCGCAAATTCATTTCCATTGGTGAGGAATGTCAATGTTGCCCAACCAGAAGGAAACAATTTTTCAAATGATCCCTCTCTGGGAAGTCTTTTTAAGCAAAGGTAATCAATATGCACAAAAGCAATCCCTTCCTAGCCTACAACTTGACAGCTCTTGCTGAAGCAAAAATCAAACTAGTCTATTTCTGAGGTGAACATACGTCAAGACCTCTACCATCAAGAGCAGCTCACTCTACTCTTCTGGCTCTTCTGACTTATCCATCTGGCCTGTAAAACGGCCTTGGAATGTTGATCCCACAATCCAAGCACTCTGTGATCTGCAACTGAAATTAAGTCAAAAGAAAAATTTATCCTCAGTTTGTTTTTGATAATGGAAATACAGCCATGCTTACCTTAGCAGTGATTTCTTTAAGTGACAAATTGAGAGATTTTATCCTTTCCTGGAGGCTGAAAGAATTTAAAAAAGAATGTTGGTCTTCTTGACAACCACAGTTCAGTATCAGACCATGTAGAAACACAGAAAACAGTGAACTGGTGACTGATTCAAATATGTGAGAAATACCACACCAGACTTGTTTCATTTGACTGTGGAATGAACATGCTGTTATAAATATCTTATCACTCCATAACTTTGCTACTGGATGCTAAATATACCTTATTTTTATTGATTTTATTGATTTTATTAGATTTACAAAGAAGAGGAAAGACAAGGAGAAAGATCTTCCATCCATTGGGTCACCACTAAAATGGCCGTAATGACCAAAGCTGAGCTGATCTGAAGACAGGAGCTAGCAGTGTCCTCTGGATCTTCCACATGAGTGCAAGGTCCTAAGACCTTGGGCCATCCTCCACTGTTTTCCTAAACCATAAGCAGGGAGCTGGAAGGAAGTGGAACATGAACCTGTACACATAGGAATGTCACCACTTGCATGCAGACGATTAGCCAACTGAACCATTGTACCAGCCCAAACTTAACGCTGTTGTTAAAATCTGCAGTTATTCCCCAAAGTGCACATATATTGATAACAGGGAGCATAGCCAGATGTGCCTGTTCTCAAAGGATTAAAATTCACATTCCTACATTCATCTGCCTAGCAGTATGGACTACACAGTGCATTAAAGGGAATTAAATCTTACTTGAAATTACCTTATAATCCAACCTTTTGTGCCTTTTGTATTTGACACTGACAGAGTATATACAAAACACATATATTTCAAGTGTGTCTAAAATAGTACCTCTGTTTTCCAAGTGTCTAGGACAATTCCTAAAACTGACAAGCAGACACTCAGTTAACATGTATATAATGAATGAATCCACATAATTAAGATTCAGCTCTTATTTTTGAGGCTGTTCCTCTTGAAGGATAAACGAATGAAGACAACCAGAATACAAAGAAAGATGAATACTTGACTGTGAGGGGACTAGAAATGCTACACGAGGAGGAAACTGCTCCAGACTGCCACATATCACCTTGTCTTCATGTGAACAGTAAAGATAATGGCTTATGCTGCAGTAAGGTAGAAATGAGAGGATTGATGAAATAGGTGGGAAGTCAGCTGGGCCTCAGAGAAAGAAAAAACCAGGAGGGAGAATGAAGGTCCCGAGAGAAGAGCATGCTAACCTGATCAAATGGTTCACATGGGAGAGTTGTGACAGAAAAATAGGGGTTTGTATGTAGGTTGAGAGGAGGATGGGAAAAGTATGGTGGCATACCAGGCTAATCATCCACCTGTGGTGTCAGCATGCCACATGACCACAGATTTGAGTCCTGGCTACTCCACTTCCAATCCAGCTCCCTATCAATGGCCTAGGAAAACAGGATAATGGTCCAATTCCATGGGCCCCTGCATCCACATGAAAGGCCTGATAGAAGTTCCTGGCTCTCAGCTTCAGTACAGCCGAGCTCTTGCCATAGTGACCATTTGGGGAGTGAACCAGATGATGGAAGATCTCTCTTGTGTCTCTCCCTCTTTCACTCAGCAATTCTGACTGTTAAGTAAAATAAATCTTTTTAAAAAGAGATAAAACTTAAATGGAATGATTATATCTAGAGGGAAAAGAGAAGGAAAGAAGTGAGGGCTTATCTGTATGTGTAATGCTTGTTTCTTTAGGGAAAGATAATCAATGTTGAATATTAGAGAAATACTCATTTTCATTAAATCACAATGGTAGATAAATGAGAACTTTTGTATGTTGAAATGTTTGGGATATTTGCAATGAAAATAATTTTAAGGGGATTTCCAAAACAAACCCCACTCAATGTTAGATATCACACCAAAGAGATTTTGGGCTTTGTTTATTCATTTTTTGCACAGTAGAGAAATATGGAAAAATGTTCAAGGAGAAAATCAATTGGCCAGGGTTGTGAGGGATGATTTCGAAGAATCAGGTCAATCTACAAGCAACAAAAGCAGGTAGACTCAGTGAAAAGAGAACCTTGGGGCCTGAGAGCCTGCAAATGGAGCAGGTCACAGGTCATGACGTTGCTCGGGAGCAGTGAGAACATCTGCCCCTGAGCTGCTCACTTCTTCATACGTTCATGAACTTAACTCAATATCCCAATGTCTACAGGCCACCCAACTAAGTCAGCGACTTACAGCATAATGACCTGGCCCCTAAAATCACTCTCTTACACTGCTAGAAACACAAGGAAATTTACAATAGTGAAACGAGGAGTGGGCATTCTAAAAAAAAAAAAAAAAAAAGATCAGAGAAAAGAAAAGGATTAAGACTTGGGGTGTGTGCAGGCAAGGAGGAGGGGTACATGACATCAGGAGAACTTTGTATGACACAGGTTGCAAAGTTTTACCAAGAAGTGGCCAATTTTTTTTTAATTTCTTGGTTATTCTCCAACTGTAAGAACTGTCTCTGCGGTTTCCCCATGAAACTGTTGAACTTATCTGGACAATAAGATGCTGGACTCTATGCTTTGTAGATTCTTGCAAGGAAAGAATCTCAACTGAATTTGACCTGTGGTAATGCAACAAGATAGAAGAATCCACCATGGGGGAGAGCAAGTTTGGGGGAGGGGAGGGTGGAATCCCAGTGCCTACAAAACTGTGTCACATAATGAAATGTAATCAATTAAAAAAATAAAATAAAGTGACATAATGAGAAAAAAAAAGAACTGTCTCTGGACATTGTCACCTCCACCGATTTTGTGGATATAAGCAAAGCTGCTGAATTGGGAAAGTCTAGAAACTGATGCAGCTTTATTTTCATGAATTATTCCTACCTAAGACCTACTTTCAACAGAGAAAGGTCGTCCACATTAAGTACAACCAACCCAGATCAAGGAGGTGAGAGCAGAAAAAAGGACAGGGCAGGTGGAATCAGATTCTTCTAAACTCAGGCGTTACAGTCTGATAAAAAGTAATGTCTTCTGTGAGAACACTGGAGACCCACAGCTGGAATCCTGCACTCTGCAATCCTGCCTTAGAGAGCTCTAGATCCTGAGTGGTCAGACACTGGATCTTTGTAGAGACAGGAAATCTGAACATCATTCTAACAGGCAGAGTGGGGCCAGCCAAAGTGTCAAACATGGGTCATGGCTATGTCTGATTCCAGGATCAGCGCCAGCTTTGGACTGCTGTGCCTACTGCCCAAACATGAAAGCTTCCTTAAGCATATACGCACTTTAACTTGCTGGTCTCATGCTATCCACTCAGCTAATATATTCTTAATACATGGCTCATTGCAGATTAGAACTTACATGAACATTAATAGCGTATTTTAAGTAGGTGTTCCTATCATACACAAAGACTAGCTTGTGCATTAACAATTAAGACAGGTGCAGGTCTCCTTATTCATATTGAAAGTTTATCTGATTCAAATGGCCATGCCTCTAGGTAATGCTTAACATACCATATAAAAAGATAGATCAAGCACTATCTTCCCAGGGGTTGATGCAGTTCACAGGCCTTGGCTCAGATCTGGTCCTATCCCAGAAAGGAAATTAGTCTCACCCATGTTAGGGGAAGGAGGCAGTGATGCGGATAATTGAATGTATTGTTTTATATTTGATTTGATTTATATTTAATTTATTTAATCTAGGCTATATTACTTTTTTGCAGTAGATTTACCTTCCTAATTATGTTTTGCTCAGGCTAATATTAACATTAGCAGCTTCCCTAGGGTATACACACAATGAAAGCAGTAGGGGGCAAAAGGATATGAGTAATTTCTATATTATGCTAGTGATTTCCAAGCTATTTTTGAAATAGAACTCATTCAAAATTTTACACAGAGCTGTAATATATAATCTAGATATCAGGGGACTCACAAGTATTGGAGTAAATAGCTGGCTTGAGGTACAAAGTATGTCCCATTAACTGTCTACACACACCCAATATTTCTGCTAATCATACTGGTCCTCAAACAATACCACTAAATTAGACCACTTCAGTGTTGACAAACAAGAGCCCTGTGTTCTTCATTGATTAAAACTAACCCTCGTGTTTTTGGGAGGTTGTTCATGGCAAATATAAAATATCCTCTTAGATCAAATTATGGTGTATCCTGGAAAACCTATAAGTTGTTCAAACAAATTAACAGGTGTGTTTTTAACAAACATACCAATATAATTTTTTCAAATGAGTATCCTTATTCAGAGTAGGTGCTCTTGGAATAAAAATCAAACATTTATTAAATACTTGCTATGTGCCAGACGCTCTTCTATATTTTTTATATAGATAAGCATCTTAAATTTGTATTATTATGCTATCAAATAACAACTATATTCATTCTAATTTCCAGACAGGAATACTCAATGAAAGGAAGATGAAAATGAGTTGCCTAAGATTAACTAGCTATAAACTGAAGAAGCTGAGATGATAACTCAGGCAGTCTACCTGACTGTTCTCCTACCCACTAAACCATACCGCCTCTTCTTAGAAGCTAGGTACTTATTTTAAGTATGCTATCATTTCACAGATGGGTTTTTGAAATTCTATTTCAGGGTTAAACATGACTACTAAAGGGACACATTTGCAGAGGAGTCCCAAACACCAACGATATTGCCAACATCATATCACAAAGTCTGACCTCAGACAACTATCAAACTCGCATCACTCATACCCTGTTGATGTGCTGTACTCATGAATTCCTGGGGAAAGCAAGGTGTATGTTTTTCCTTTGTTTTTAAAAGTGCAAGTTCACAAACTCCTACAACTGCAGCTGTAGCCACACACAGCCCTCTGCTTCCTCCAGATGATTGAAAAGATGTCCAATCCCATACATCCATTGCTTTTGACAAACCAACCAGGAAGAAGGTGCAGAGAAAACCCAGAGATTAAACAACAAAAATCCTAAGGAATGGAGAAGCCGCCCAGGGACTGCTCACTGGACTGCCCTTTTTGTATCATTCCAGTGTGATGCTGCCCCCTCACAGTCCCAGGAGACCATAACAGGACACTTAGTCTTGCACATGAGTGTCTGTTTCAACCCTCTGGGAATATCTGCTTGTGTTCCTTCTGGATTCTTGGGTCCATTCTTCAACTCAGGCCTCGGCATCTCCCTTTAGTAAGAATGCATCTAAGGGAGTCATGGGACTATTGTTTTTTGTTGTTTGTTTGTCTGTCTGTTTGTTTTTCTCAGTTGACTGAGATGCTACATTTCATTATTTCAAATCTCACTGGAAAAGAGTGCTGACATTAGCCCAGCCTGTGTTCTGTGGAACTGAGGATACATGTAACAAAAATGCCTGCAGAACTTGAGAGGCAGTACCCCATACTCCCAGACCCAGGAGGAGGCTGCAGGGCAGCTTCCTGCTTGTTCACCACCCTCTGCATCCCAGCTGTGCAGGCAGGTTCCCAGAATCTGCAGCAAAGGCCTCGCCAGCCTCGTGTCACACCAGAGATGGCCAGGTTTTTTCTTCACAGTTTGTGCCAACGGTTTGTAAGAAGAAGTGACATATTTTTCCAATTGCACAACCAAAGACAACTCATCCATGAGAAGCCAGAACACATTTCACATGAAGCATGAAAAATCCCAGGAGCTGAGGAATGAAGAACTCAACCACAGACTATCACGAGCCAGTCAAGCATTTCGAAAGAATGTTAGGATGCATACTACGCAGCCTTCCATGTCACCACGGTTGCAATTTCTCTAATGGTTCTGACCTCACTGCACTGTGAGCCATACACAGGCAAGGCCAAGTCACAGGCTGTCCTCTGTTGCTTTTTGAAGTGTACAAAAAGTCAGCAGAGCCTGAGCTAACGGCACCAGGGAGAGATAAGCTACAAATCCCCTCTCACCTCGATTTATGCCAAATAAACACAAAATCTCACACACTAGCGGTGTGGCTCTGCGAAAACCCTAAAGGCAGTAACATTCTCACTGTGCCCACTCTTTTTTTTTTTTTCCTGTACCTCCCTACTCTGAAATCCCAAGGCCATTCTTTCAAGCAGGAGTGGCGGCAGTATGGTATGGAACCACTGGGAGGAATGCCAAGGTCAAGGGTTGAAAATAACCCTTCCAGGCGCCTCTCTTCAGGAGGCCTAGCAGGAGAAACAGGTGTGTTTGAAAATCCAGAGAACAGTCATTCACTAAATACTCTGACAGTTTTGGACAAAAAGTTTGAAGGCTTTTCCAAGACTGAAATTCCCATAATGAAGATGGCAAGTCTTATACCTAATAAACGACTTACCACTGCTTAGTACTGCTTAAAAGCATGCAAGGTTTTAACAGGATATCAATGTAATCAATTACCCTGCAAGGTGGGTATTATAAACATCATCCCTACTTTCCTTTCAGCCAGGAGGTGATTGACGGGGGATTCGTGCTCACACAATCAAATGGCAAAACCCATACTCCCAACCACTGCAGGTGACATCTTACTAAGTATTTTCTTTACAATAACACAGCAGAGGGTTAATCCCTCTTCTTGCTGTAGGCTCATCACACTTGTCCTGCTCGTGCCCTATCTGCATGCCCACTCACAAACTTCTCACGCTTTTGCCCAGCATTGCAAGTGCCTGTTCTGAATGCCTGTCTCCAAAATAAAACTACAAGCTTCAGGAGGCCAAAGGGGCTGCTTCTTGGACTTCTGGCTAAGATTAAACGTGAAGGAAACAGGAAGATATGTACCTGATGAGTACTGCGCAACACACAAAAAAACAGGGAAGATTCTTACTCCCTATGTAGTAAAGTAGATAAGAAGTCAGGCTTCAGGATTAGAGGACAGATTAGAGTATCAGTTTTCCTTCTTATTAGTTGAGACTTTGGGCAACTTATTAATCTTCTTAAACTTTTTTTCTCACTTTTAAAATGGATATAAAATTGAAGCAACTCATACAGTAAAGTTTGGCACATAATGGATACTATGTAAATGTTAGCAACCAACAGCAACACCTCTTCCAGATGGAAACATTGCCACTGGGTTTCTCCCATCCTTCTCTCTCTTTAATGCTAATTTACTTTCTTCCATCCAATTGAAAGGCAAATTCATACGCAAACATACACACACACACACACACACACACACACACACACACACACACACAGGGAAAGGGGAGAAAAAGAATATTCCATCTGCTTAATCACATCCCAAATACCTACAGAAGAAAGGGCTGGGAGAACTTGAAGTCAGGAACATGAAGACTAAGTCATCACCCTCTTTTAGAACTGGCTCAGAAGCGGAGTAGCCAGTACCCACGCCAGAACTCCAATAGAATGAGTGTGTCCTGGAGATGGCACAGTGGCATAATGGGCTAATCCTCTGGCTACAGCACCAGCATTCCCTATGGGTGCCAGTTCATGTCCTGACTGCTCCACTTCTGATCCAGCTACCTGTTTATGGACTGCAAAAGCAGTGGTTGATGGTTCAAGTCCTTGAACCCCTGCACACATGTGGGAGACCTGGAAAGAGTTCCTGGCTCCTGGCTTTGGATCAGCTCAGCTCTGGCCACTGCAACCATTTGGAGGAGTGAACCAGTGGATGGAAGATCTATCTGTTTCTGTCTATAAATCTCTTTCAAATTAAAAATAACTAAATGAATGTTGAAAAAGAAGAACAATTAGGGTGCCTCTAGACATGGCTTCACCCACTGCTACAAAACATCCATTCAAGTTCCCCTCAATTCATAGCACACCTTCTACTTTGATGAGAGGTATAGCTCACCTCTCTCCAACGAGCATCCTTTGCAAAGATTGGTTCCAGGATTTCTAAACAACTGACCTTCAGTAGTTTTCAAAGAGAGAGAGGGTGTCCATGCAGCTGCTTATAAGTGAAAAGGATGACTATAGGAATGGAGAGGTGTGCTGGCATGTAGCAAACTGGGTGGACAGGTTTGGAAGCAATTTACAATGCTTACAATGTCCCACACAGTGAAGATTTTATTCATCAAAATACTGAATGTACATCCACTGAAACATACTGACTACCTCAAAAATAAATATGAGCTATGTTAGAACTATTTGTTCACCAAACAGGTCAAAAATGTGAGTGATCCAAAATCAGTTAGGGTAAAGGATATTGTTGCTCAACAACTTAAGCTTCCACTTTGCTTGCCCACATTCCATATCAGAATGCCTGGGATCAAGTCCTGCATCAGTTTCCAATGCATATTATCTGGGAGGCAGCAGATGACAGTCCCAGTATTGAGTTTCATGCTCCTGATCATGCCAGTCCTGTAAGAGTTTCTGGCTCCTGCCTTCAACCTGGCCCATCTTAGCTACTGCAGACATATAAGGAGTGAGCCAACTGATGAAATCCCTCTCAATTTCTCTCTCTCTCTCTCTCTCTCTCTCTCTCTCTCTCACTCTCTGCTATTCTGCATTTCAGATAGAAGATAGATAGGTAGGTAGATAGATAGATAGATAGATAGATAGATAGATAGATAGATAATATTTTTTAAATCATTTAGGAAATAACCAATACCTCTTTATGCTTTCAGGAGGCTCCACACAGAAAGGGACCTGCCTGGCTGAAGCCAGGGTGTCCTGCAAGGCCATGCCGATGTCCTGCAGCTGGCTGGGCGAGAGGTGCCGCATCAGGGCAGTCAGATCACAGCCCTGCCACTGGAGTTGCTGCTCCTGCTCAGCTATTTCCTGTCGCAGCTGTTGATCTTTGGCTTCCAGCACAGACATCCTGGCTTGAAGAGCTTCAATTTCCTTCTACAGTGAATAAAGAGAGCAGATTTCACAAATTAACCATGCTCCTAGCAAATTGCTCTGCCGATAATGACTCATTTAAATGAGGGTTGGCCATATGCACCAGAGCCATGAAGCTCCTCATCTGAGGCAGGAAGATTTTTGGAGATTTGCTGAACTGGAAAAATGATGACAGCTTTGTATTTCTGATGAGTTGGCATATAGAAAGGCATTCTCTCCCAAGCATTAAATGACTATGGGGGAAGGGAGATGAGCCAATACCTTGACATGGAAGCTTCCAGCACAAGAGTGGCTGGCTTCTTCTCAGATAGAAAAGCTGGAACACTGGACAGCAAGTGGCATGCACTTGAACCAAGATTTATGTCATACGGCCATGGATCAAGATAAGAAAAGTTAATCATATGAAGCTTTAATCTGTAGAAAGAAATTATTTTTGCTTTAAAAAAGACCATGGCTTTTTAGATCTACAGGATTAAAAGAACAACAGGATAATGCTGAATAATTTCATGCAGTCTAAAGTTCAAAAAATATTAAATGAACCTAATTGTCACTAAGATAGCCATCCAAAAATTAAACAGTCCAAACAGTAATGTCCAATACTGAAGTCAATGAATAAAACAGGCAGCAGGTAATAACACCCATCGTGTGCACAATGGTATAGCAAATAATCATCTTGCTTACCGCATTTATATCTGGACTTAAATCTGAACTCTTAATTCACATGCTCCCATGTTTCACACATTGGTTTCTAGCTGATAAGAGCCTCCAAAATCTTACTGATCTTCGTAGCTTCCACCTGCTGAATCCACTTTCAATGTGGGAGAGCGGGAAGGGATAAGTTGCTAAGGACCTACTACTAAGATGTTCTAAGGAAAAAAAAAATACAATGTTCCCTCTGGGTTCAGGATTACAGAATAATTGACAAAGTCTCTCAATTAACTTCTTTACTATAGCATTGATTTTTCCATACCTCCTCCTTTTCTTTCCTTTAATCATGTTAACTGAAGCAGAACAAACAAACAAAACTCTGACATTGAACAGGTAGGTAGACAGGATGTGAAATAATTTCCAACCTTCCCTACACAGCAAAATTTTCTACCCAAAGTATTGAAAGTGCTTTGATGGCAAAATATAAACTACTCAGAAAAATTTTTTTCTCTCACATGTAAAATGGATAGAATGCACATCACACAAAATTTAGCATCTTAATCATTTTAGTATCTAGTTCTATGGTATGGACATTCACATTGTTGTGTCACCATAACCATCCCTCAAGAGCTCTTTTCATCTTGCAAATAGAGATACCATCTCTGGTCCCTTCCCCACCATGTCCCTCCCTGGCATCTACCCTTCTACCTTCTGTTGCCATGATTTTGCCTAGTCTAAGTAACTCAGTCCTTTCATGACTAACTTACTTCACTTGGTTTAACACTCAAGATTCACCCAAGTTTTGGCAGGTGTCAGAATTCCCTTCCTTTTCAAAGTTGGCTATATGACTACACCACAATTCATTCATTCACCCATTGATGACTATTTGGATTGGTCTATCTTTTGGCTTGGGGAATAAATCTGCTGTAAATATGCATATACAAATACCTCTTATAGTTAATGAATTCAATTTGGGGGTATACACCCAGAAGAGGAATTGCTGGATTGTGTGGAAGTTCTGCTTTAACTTTTTTGAAGGGCCACAACATTGCTTTTCAAAGTGGTCCTATGCCCAGTTAACACAGAAATCAAAGCAATTCTTAGACCGCTCGGCCACCTTGACACGTTATCAAAGCAATTCTTTAAAATGTATTCACATAATGTAATTTTGCTCCTAAAAGTCTTCCAGTGATTCTCTACTGCAAGCACAGTCAAGACCAAAGTCTCACAAGATCCACATGGCTCTATAAGGCTCCCTTTGGTTCTGACTCCTCTCTGAACATGTCCTATACTCCCTACTTCATGTGTCACATAGCTACACTGACCTCCCGGCTACAGTCGAACTTATTCCCACCCTGTAGACCTTCACATGACTGTTCAGAATGATCTTACCAGAAACAGTTGCAAAGACCACATCTTTTCTCTCAGGAGTTGGATTCAATCTCAATCAAGAGTAGATTCCTTTACCCCAGAACTGGGACCTAGGCATTATAACTCACACCGCTCTATAGCACAGAAGTATCTAATGCTGACATTGACTATATTTACCATTTATTTTTTATCTCTTCACCCTGACCCACAGTGGAATATGAGCCCTGAAGGAATCTTGAGCAGTTCTAACAGTGTCTGGCACATAGCAGGCACTCAATAAATACCCCGTAAATGCATGCACAGTCTAGTGCTTTTCCCAGTGTGCTGCCAGCACTAAGCTACAACATAGGGTGCTTCAAAGACTGACTATCTGGGGCTAAAAGTATTTTCTCTATACTGTGACATCCTTAGGAATTGTATAGACCTTTAATTTGTGAAAACCATTAGAAGCTCAAAGTGGATTTCACATCTCCAGCTGTCCAAATTTTACAATAATAGTAGCTGAATATTTAAGGGCTCAGTTTATTGGGAAATGCTTTAAAATTGTGATGATGACTTTTGCCTCCCTGTACCATCTTGTTACCATAGCAATTTGGGTGAGGAACACTCAGCTAACTACACTCTTCAGGGGACAGAAATTATTCATGTTCCCCTAACTTGTCTCAACGTATTCAACTATTTAGCTCCTAAGCCAGAATTTTGACTCCAGTGTTGATGACACATACTCTTGCCATGAAGTCACATTGTCTCTCATCGGTGTCTTCCCACTACTCCCCATTCTTTCTTTAGGACTTCAGGTTCAAACATACATGGACCCAGCTTCAAAATTCCCTGTCTCTGGGGGCCCCTGTCTGCTTTCAGAGCTCCCAATTTGCCCCTGGCTTGACTTTGGTGTTCTACCAAGAATTCAAGCTCCTTTGTAAGTCTCAGCAAACATCGGTCCAATGCCTCAAGCCCTGCAAGTAGCCATTAGGTATTCCAGACAGGTGCACCCTGCCCAGTCCAAACAATTCTGCCTCCTAACTGCTGCTCACTATCCACCGTGACAGGAATTTCCATAAAACACTCTCACTGCACGGATGTCTTGTTGCCTTTCCAGGCAACTTACTAAAGGTCAAAATGATAAGAGGTGACAAATTGGTCCAGGAGACAAGGAAAGTATATTCAGCAGGTAATGAGGAATATCAGAAACAGGCACAAACGCTGCTGAGCTTTCAACCCCTCATTTGTAATAAGATTTCTACAAGCCCTCTAGCCATCATTCCCTACCATCTCGCCCTTCTGTACTTTCCACGTTGATGGCCAAGGCTCTAATTGCTACATTTGAGCAGAGCCAAGACCGACTTTTTTGCATCTACTTTAACTACATGAGAAAAATCCTGTCCTCTTTCTTGAAGAGTCATCACGTACTCACCTGGAGCTGCTGCTTTTCCTGCAGAAGCCAGTCCCGCCTGGTGAGGGATGGGCACAGGCTCTCCCGAGCCATGGGTTCCAACAGACGCGGCTCTGCTCCACACATGGCCTGCGTGTCATCACCACTGCCGGCCCTCAAAACAACACACATAGAAATACAGATGAGCAAAAGCTGCAATTTCCACGTTAAGTGTTTGAGTAAAACAACTAAGTGTCCCCTAGCTGTTCTCATTTTAGGAGGGCCACAGGGAAAAAAACTCTAACAAAAATTTCTTTAATAACAGTCTGCTTGGGCTTTTGTTTTCTCCCAGAGCCACATTTCTATTATTATATTCGCACTGCCCAGTATAGTCATCCCTGGCCACATGTGGCTGTTTAACTCAAACTAAAATGTGCTAAAAATGTAGAATATACAAGGGATTCTGAAGATTTCAAACTAAAACACATTTCAAAATGATCCATTCATAATATTTTATGTTCTTTATATGCTGAAATAATATTTTGAAATAATAGGGTGAATTAAATATAATGTTCAAATGAACCTTAATTGTTTCTTCTTGATTTAAAAAAAAATGTGGTTACTAAAATCATTTAAAACCAAGCTTGACTCTCACATTATGTTTTCTTGGACAGTACCTCCTGGGACCATCTTAACAGAGCTGAAGTTCAACAGTGATCTTGACTCCCAATATTAAAAAGATGTGGCGTATTTGCAGATGCTCGAGTAATGGCTTCTCAGAGAAATTATGTCCAAAAGTCTCTCAACCAAGCTGGCCTTGTGGTGTAGGAAGCTAAGCCACTGCTTTTAACACCAGCATCCTACTTGTGCAGAGAGAGCACTTGTGCAGGTCCTGGCTGTTCCACTTTCAATTCAGTTCCCTACTAAAGTGCCTGGGAAGACAGAAGAAGGTGGTCTAAGTACCTGGGACTCTGCTGCCCACACGAGAGAGCTGATGGAATTCCAGGATCTTGCTTCAGTCTGCCTGAGCCTGTTTTATCACACTCGTTCAGGGAGTGAACAAATAGATGAAAGATGTCTCCCTCTCTCTGTTTCTTTTCTCCTCCCTGTAAATCTGCCTTTCAAATAAATGTTTAAAAATAAATAAACATATTCATTGTAAAGTTACTTTTTAATTTTTTAAAAAAAAAGACCACCACAAACCACTTAAAATTTCTTTGGCTGCTTCTCTTTCTTTTCTAGGAATAAGATTTGGGGGCAGTGAAGCTAATGAAAATGTCACCTCAGGCGTAAGCTTTATGCTGATGAGCTGCCTTTACAGACATCTTGTGGGAATTCTTCATCGAAGAATAACAAACTTATATTACAAATATTCAATGCAGACAGGCTGCAAATAAAAATTATCCTAGGCAAAACTGTGTCAACAATTCAAGGAAGCAATGTATACGAACAGGATACAAACCACAACAAAAGGTAGGGTGGATATTGTGGTGTGGCAATGAAGCCCAACTCTGCTTCCAATGCAGGCCCCTGTTGCTTCACAACGGAGGCGGTGGACCACAGCCCAGATGCTTTTGTTCATTTACATGGAAATGCTGGATGGAGCTCCTTCCATGGCTGAAATTTGAAGATGGTGATGATGTTCTAGCAGCTTCCACCTTGTTAGCAAAGCCCTTGCAAGATGAATGAGCCCACCGACCATGCTGCCGGGAAGAAGCCCAAATATGTTTAGAAATAGCACTAGACAAGGTCATCTCCACATTTCACGGTGAGAAAAGAGCAGAGCCAGGAAAAAGAATCTGGCTTTTATTCAACTGCCTGAAATAGATTCAGATTCTCTGCATAATCTTGAAGGCCGTTTACTGCAATAAGTGACATAGAACCTTCCACACAATTTAGAACTATATTCTCTTGTTGATATGTTAAGGGTGATCATAATTGAGAAATGACCAAATTGTTTAAAACAATAATAATCTGCAAATGGAGAAAATACAGAACACCAGAAATGATCATTTTTGTCACATCTAATTCTCATTGAAGATATAAAATTAAGATGTTCTTATTACAGCTTTGTAAATGAGGAAACTGGGTCTTTGGGCAGGCAGGTGCTCTTGTAGAAGAGCATGCTCTTGGTAGAGCAATGAGTGGAGCTTAGTGGTCAAAGCATTGGGCTGACTTCCTGTTTCCAGGATTCTCAGTGACACCATCTGCTGCTCACAGGTTCCCAGCAGGTGCAGAAACCTGTCTCTCCTTGCTGCCAGCCAAGCTCCACCCACACCAGGTGATCAAGGCTCCCTGCTGGCTCTCTAGCTGGGGCAGCACAAAGGCAAGTGCAGGTCAAGGCCACAGTTCCGGCACTGCTCCTACCTTTTCCTAGTTGCATATCCTTGAACTCCCCCAACCTCTCTGCATGTCAACTTGCTTGGTGTTCCTTAAAGTTTTATTTGCCTGAAAGGTGGAGCTAGAGGGAGAGATCTTCTATCCACTGGCTCAGTCCCCAAATGATCACAACCTCTAGGGTTGGGCCAGCCTAAAGCCCAGTGCCAGGAGCCAGTATGGATGTAGTGGCCTAAGTACCTGGAACCATCCTTTGCTGCTTTCCAAGGCACATTAGCAGGGAGCTGGATTGGAAGTGGAACAGCCAGGACTCCAAATGGTGCCCAGGCAGAATGCCCAGCATTGCAGGCAGCAACTTAACCTGTTGCACCACAATGCCTGCCCCAATTTCACTCTTATTTATTTTTTAAGATTTATTTATTTTTATTAGAAAGACAAATATTCAGAAAGAAAGAGAGACAGAAAGAAATATCTTCCATCTGAGTATTTCACTCCCCAGATGGTCACAATGGTCAGAGCTGAGCCAATCCAAAGCAAGGATCCAGGAGCTTCTTTGAGGTCTCCCACTCGGGTGCAGGTTCCCAATGCTTTGGGCCATCCTCTACTACCTTCCCCGGGCCACAAGCAGGGAGCAGGAGCAGACTGGGAAGTGAAGCAGCCAGGACATGGACTGGTGCCCATATGGGATGCTGGGACTTGAAGGCAGAGGATTAGCCAACTGAGTCATCATGCCAACCCCAAATTCTTTGTTTTTAAAGTGAGAATACGGATGGTGATATAACAATAATGCTTTGCCTACACGGTTGGTCATGATCAGATTGATTTAATAAATAACCCCTGAGTACCTAAGGCAGGCAGCCCCCTCTCCCAGTGAGGTTTCATGAGCAAGAGCCAGCCCTCCTCTCCCTTCAAAGTACTTGCTGTTGACCTTTCCAGCATCTCAGTGTTTGTACAGGAAAGTAAACACTGTTCTCCTATCTAATGGACACAGTGCCTTCTACAAAGTAATGGAGAGAAGAGACACTGTGTGTCTGAGGATCTTGGCATGCATCAGCAGAGGCAGTGCTTGAACCCAAACCATCCTCAGCTCCTGGCATCTGTGTAGCTCCTCACTCATGCTTGCCTGAGTCTTGAGAGCAAGGGATTGGGCTCATCAAGTGGTGATGCCCTCAACATGCAGTTTCAAACAGTAGGTTAGCAAAGATTTATTGAGTGATGAGTGAGTCTGTGGCCCAGACTGTGCAGAAGCTATTTGCATTCAGTTTTTTATTGTATTAGATCATTTCTTTTCACTAATTTATTTCCCAATTTCTTCTGCTTATGCTAATATCAAGAGTTTCCTGAATTTCCTAAATAGACACCATCTGGGTTGGAATGGGAGTTATTGAAAGAAATCAACACAGAATTGAAAATTAGCTGGAGAGGAACTACATAGTAGGTAGCTGGGAATACTCTGTATTATTGTTAATCACATTCATTACTTAAGCCATAAGAAAAGCCCCTGTGATTTACCAAAACTCTCTGTCACACTTCTTTTTTCTAGGTACAGAAGACCACTCCCAGACAGCTGGGAGACAGATTTCCACCTTACAAATCTTCAGCCTTCTGAATCCTCCCTTCTGCAATGCTGGTTCTTTTATACTCAGTAACTCTCAGTGTGGAATCCCTGATGTCAGTGGAAATTAACACCATTGCAATAAATTAATCAGTATGTAAAATGAGCAAATCCCTCAGGGCAAGACTTAAGAATATGTGGGATAAATGTCAGAGCAGTCCCCAGGACCAGTGAGGATTTAGGCATGTAAAATCTGACTCTCAGATCCAGTGTTTCTCAGTCTCTTGCCTGTACCTGCCCAGTCAAAAGAAAAAAAAAAAAAATCTTACTCTTTCTATCCCATCTTTCCACAAATAACTTTTTTTTTAACAAAGGTTTATTTATTTATTGGAAACACAGAGTTTAATGAGGGAAACAGAAGCAAAGAACTGGCTCACTCCCCAAATGGTGACAATGGTTGGGACTGGGCCAAGCCAAAGCCAGGAGCCAGGAGCCAGGAGCCAGGAGCTTCATCTGTGTCTCCAACATGGGTACATGGCCTGATGTACTTGAGCCATCTCCCACTGCTTTCCCAGACACATTAGCGTGGAGCTGGATCAGAAGTAGAGCAGTCAGGACTTGAACCGGCATTCACACAGGATGCCAGTCCTGCAGATGACAGCTTATTCCACTCTGCCACAGTGTTGGCCCCACGAACAACAACTTTCAAAAGTTATAAAACAAGATCCTATACACAGCTCCACATTACATAGAAGGAAGTTTCAATCCACTGATAACATTCTCAGTAGGATTCTAGTGAATACAATTCAGTAATATTGAGAAAAGCCCGAGTGTCCCTGGTTGCCTTGCCCAGCTATTAATGACTGAAATGAATCCACAGGACCCTCTCCTCCACAATCCAGCACCCAGGCCTCCAGGGCCCTTGGCTTTGCATGATCTGCCTTGTCAGGAGAGGATGACTAAGGTATGTAGAAGCCAGAAAATCCACCTGTGCAGAGATCCTGCACCAGGACTGCTCAGGGTGATGCTGTGGCTTATGCAGCTTTGCGTGTAGCACACACTACCCTTTTCTCAGATCCTGCACTGGCCATCATCTTGGTGTGAGGCGAAATCGCAGTGTGGTGCTACTGTTCGGATCACAGAATTTCAGTCTTAGAAAGGATCAGAAACTTTTAAGACCAATGCTTTCATTGTCACAGGTAGAAAAATGCGCCCCAGAGAAGGTGTTTCTTCATTTCAGATGACCATTTCCAGTTCTAAGAACTGAATGTGGCCCTTCTGAA